GGAAAGAGTCACAGAAAGGCCAAGTAACCCATCTGAGGATAATCAGCCAGGAAGTGGGAGAGTTGAGACTTGAACTTCAGAGCCCATGCTCAACCTCTATGTCAAATTGTCATGTGGGGAGGATAATATCTACCTCCCTGGAGAGTTGTTTGAGAGGATTGAACTGCTAACGCAACAGGGCTTGATATGGAGGTGCTCAATGAACAATGGCAAGTATTGTCATTCAAAAAGAAATTGCCCATGTTAGAAACAGTTAACCCAGAACTGCACATGAAACCGTTTGCTCATTCTCTAAGACTGATCGCTCTCCCTTCCAGGAATCCTGGTGCTCCCGGGCGCTTTATCACTCCTTGTCTAAGAGGAGATTTTGGATCTGAGCCTTGAGGTTAAACAACTCACTGAGCAGACGGGTCGCTGGGGTGTGGGGGAGGATACATCGGGTAGAGTGAGCGACACTGGCGAAATCCTGGAGGTGCAAAACTGTGTGTTTGGGTAGGGAACCAGGTGGAAGCTGGTTCCGTTTTACTCAGATGCTTGATGGTTGGAACTTCCCTGCGCCTCATCCTTCTTCAGCCTCTTCAAAAACCGGGCCTAAGGCGCCACCTGGTGGCAGCCTCTGGCAGGAAACACCGGCTGGAGCAAAAGCTACCCACACTCCTCTGACCTGAACTCTCTTCCTCTTTCCCTGGGTATGGACTTGCTGTAAAAGTGACGGAACAACAATCAGGGAACATCTTTTATTTAAAGAACACCTTTTTTCCAGTTAGCAAAACGATGCATACTTGTTGTAGAAAACTATAGAAAAAAATAAAGAGGAAAAAAGTCACCTTTAATTCCATCACTCAGAATAACTATTAATATACTGGCCTATTATCCTGTGTTTTTTTCTGCATGTACTATTCACATATCTGAGGATTAGTGTGTATATATATTTCTGTATAGATACATATACATGTATCCAGACTCAGTTATATTTAAATGTATGTTGTATATTTTTGTGAACAGTCTTGGTGTGGGGGTTAGTGTGGGTGTTGGGAGCCAAGTGTTAGTGCCAGACCTCTCTAAGTTTGAATTTTGTCTTTGCTCTTACTAGCTGTGTGACTTGGGCAAGTGACTTCCCTGAGTAGCAATTTCCTTCACTATCTGTAAAATGTGGTTAATAATGGGACTTCTCCCAGGGCTCTTAGGAAGAAAATGATATAATGTATGCAAAATGCTTTGTACAGTTCCCCGGACAGAGAGGTTTCTCACTGATAATAAATGGCCATGTAAAACTTAGTATGCCTTTTTTATTTGTAGCAGAAATTTCTAGAAATGGGATGATTTTCTGGGTTCAGGGATATGAAGAGCCTCAAAGTTGATACAATTTGCCAAAATTCAGAGGAAGATTTCACCACAATCTCATGTCCCCAGCACCACAGCTGTTCTCATTTGTCTCTATATTCTTCCAGGCCCTGTTTACGCAGAACAATTTTTCCCCCGATTTTTAAGCATTGAATTATAATGCTTGCACCAGTTTGCTTAATGTTACATCATCGACATTTTCCTAGGTGGCTCAAGCTGTCATTGACATTTGCCATATTTGTTTAACTCTTTCCTTATTGCTGAATACCTGAGCAGCTTAATTTTTCATTCATTCATTCATTCAGCCAGTAGTTATTGAATGCCTACTCTCTGCCAGGCACTGAACAAGGCATTAGGATATGGGGTCACCAAGAAGAGTCCACTCCTTGCTTCCGGCACGTGGACTCTGGCCAGCGAGAAATACCATTATAAGTAAACAAATAAGTAAAACTCTAACTATCAGCAGTGGTGAAGAAGGTGATAGTGGAGAGCTGTGAAGGAAAGGAGAGACCTACTAGTGAGACCTACTTTTAAACACATTTGTATATTTTTTGGAAGTAGTCCTAGTCCCTGATTCTAAACTGTATTGCTCCTCAGTAGCCATAACTGAAGTGTCTCTCTGGGAATCCCATGTGGAGTTGAATTTTTCACTAAGACACTTCAGAATTTCCTGAGAAGTCAGAGCTCACTGTGGTATCCAAAGACCTGACAGTGAGCTCAGGTGGACCTTGTTTCCTGTTCTTTCTTCCTCTAAGCTTGTGTTTCTACCAGTCCAGTCTGGTCCCTGCCCCTGAAGAGGCTTATGATTATCTCCATCTTAAATTTATGTGCACTGAGTCTTTTCCTCACCTCCTTCTCAATACAGGACCTCCTCTAGCCCTAGCAGCCTTTGAACCAATCAGCAAAGGTGTTTGCTCCAGGCAGACAAAGCCTTGATGGGAGAGGCTTGGTGGGCAGAGCACAAGTTGGGTATCCGCCCCTGTGAGGCCTGGTAGTTCACCTGCATGATGGTCTATGGCAGCCCTGCCCATAGCCTCTGGAATGACTACCTCACCTACTCTCTCTCTGATTCTCACTCTGTCTTGAAGACTCAGTTTATAGGCAACCTTTTATGTGAAGTCTTGTCTCACTTTCTAATTCTTATGATTCCTCTCGTCTTACTCTCATATCATTATCTCATCTGACAAGGTCTGATTTAGATTGAGAGATCAGAGTACCTCCACAGATGTGTTATTTACACTGAACACTGAGGAAGTGGGCAGAGATCTAGACAAAGAGTGTCCTAGGCAGAGGAAAGGGCATATGCAAATGCCATGAGGTAGAAGATGTTTCAGATGTAAGGCGAAAATGAGTATCTCTACATGAAATGGCCTGTGCAGGTTTGACCACCAAAGTGGAAAACAACTAAGTTAGGCATTCATACTACTTGATGAGGCCATCTTTGTTCTAGCCTCTGGAAAGGCAAATACAGAGATTCCTCAAACCAGACATATTCCTTTCCAGACTAGTGCAGGAGGCGAAGATGATTTCAGTACAGACAGGCCACGGTGGGAGGTTCTGATGCATGTCAGTAGAAGTGTAGAAGGCAACTATTTCTGCTTGTGGGGACTGAGGGAAGCTTGTCCAAGAAGGAGACATCTGAGCGGGGTCTGACACAGGAATTTCCCAGGAAGAGACACAAGGGAAGAGGAAGTCCAGTCCAATGTTGAAGGGCATGGAGGCAGGAAAAGAAGGGGGATTTCAGAGAAGAGCGGTCAGGAAGGGTCTCTTAGGAAAACTAATGTGCTCAGGCTTGATCTGTAGATGGTGGGAAACCAGGGGAGGTTTCTAAGCAGGAGGGAGGCAGGTCTGGCTGTGGTATGAGGAATTAATAGCAGTGGGTGGAGACTGAGATAGGAGGGGGATGAGAAGGGATGTGGGGGGTCTGCTACACCTGCCCAGGCTAAAAGCCTGAAATGGAATAATGAAGATAAGAACGGATAAGAGAAGAAAGATATGAGGGACATTTCAATGTAAAACATTTAAGACTTGGAAATGGACTGCTTTTAGAAGGCCAGGGAGAATATGAGCTAAGACTTTGCAACTTTCGATCATGGATGACCGAATGAAGGTGGTGCCCTTTGTTGAGACCAGAGATACTAGGAGGAGAGAGAGGATTTGGAGGGTAAATTGATGGAGAGGGATTGGGGCGCTGTGAGTGCTTCTCGTTGGTACCACGGACAGCTCCAAGGATCGCCAGAGGCCTTGGAATAGAGTACGTAGGTCAATGGTTGTTCACTCTGGCTGCCTTAACATCAGAAGAGGAGCTAATTTAACATGCAGACTTTCTGGCCCACCCACATGTTCTTCATCAAAGTCTCTGGGGCTCAGGAACCTGCATTCTGAGTAAGCACGCAGGTAACTCAGGTGAAATTAAGCTCTGGTGGGCTCCAGAGGAAAAGATAAGAGCTTCATGTGCTGCAAAAAAGGTCTGGACCTCTTGAGTTCATGCCTAGTGCGTTTAAGGCAGTTTATTTACACAGTGAAACCCTGGGCCAAAACAAAGAAACAAGAGGCCTGGGGAGATGAGTGAGGGAGAGGGGCCGCCTTACTTAAAACTTCTATGTTCTTTTCACCTGTGGTGCAGAGTGTGGCAAAGTTCACCTGTGTGTAGTTACGGTCACTGTCTTCAGTCTGGGGTTCTGTCACACCTTTCCAATCTCATTACCTAAAAACCTAAGTGGTTCCCTAAGGTGGGAGGAAAAGCCTCCCCCTTGGACTGTCTTTAAAAACATATGACAACTCAAAAGAATTGAAAGCAGGAACTCGGGAAGGTGTCTGTGCACCTGCGTTCACAGCAGCATCGTTCACAGTAGCCAACAGGTGGAAACAACCCAAATGTCCTTTGGCAACGAAAGGAGACAATGTGGTGGACAGACACAATGGACATTATTCAACCTTAAAAAGGGAAGGCATTATGCTGAATGAAATAAGCTGGTGACAGAAGGACAAATACTGTGTGATTCCACTTCTGCGGGGAGTCAGATTCTGGAGAAAGAGGTGGAGCCGCGGTTGCCAGGAGCTGGGGAGGGGGAATGAGGGGTCTGAGAAGCACAAGTTCTAGAAATGGATGCGGGTGTTGGCTGTTGCACAACAATGTGAATGTACCGAGTGCGACTGAACTGTCCACCTACAAATGGTCACAACGGTGACTTGTATGTTGTTTGTTTTAGCACAAAGCCCGACATAAGAATGTCCCAGCCTGAGCGGGACTCCGTGGGGCTTCTCCCCGGCTTCCCACCCCACAGGGAGCCCTCGGAGCCGGGAAGGGTGGTCCTCTCGGGGTGGGGTTCTCCCAGGGGCAGCAGGTGTTTCTTCGCACGGAAAGCTGCTCCCCGAGGGCCTGGACGTGTCCCGTCCATCCTCAGCCCGAGGCTTCCGGATGGCGAGCTCCTTACCAGGGGGCGGGGTTGTGCCTCCTCCTTCAGACCAGCACTTACCCCAGCGAGCGGGCTCGGCGGGGAGTGGGCCTCCTGTTTGGGAGTGTGTCTCTCCCTCCAGCCCCCGGCCCGCCCCCGCAGCCCGCCGCTTTTCCAGGCTGCGTGCCGCCTCCAGCCTCGCCGAGCTCTGCGCCCGGAGCGCGCGGGCGGCCCCGCGGCGCTCTGCCCGCTTCCAAGATGGCCGCCGCCGCCTCTGTGACAGGCCCGGTCACGTGGGCGCCGCCGCCTATGAGGTCGCTGGGGCTTGGCCGGCGATTGTCCCTTCCCGGGCCCCGTCCCGAGGCGGTGACAGCCCTTGTCAACCGGAGCCTGAGCGATCATGGCAACGGGCTCGGGCGGGGAGCGCGCGGCAGCGGTGGCGGCGGCGGCAGCGGCGGCAGTTTGGTCGCGGGCCGGGGCGGCGGAGCGGCGGCGGCGGCGGTGGCAGTGGCGCTGGCACCGGCCCTGAGCGCCATGCAGCGGGACGGCTCCGAGAGGGAGCTGGCGGCCGGGCAGGAGGCGGCGGCGGAGCAGGGCCGCGTGGACGCGGGCGCGTCCGGGGAGCCGGAGCGCACGGCGAGGGAGGAGCAGGCCAAGGCCCCGACCTCGGCCCCTGCGCAGCCCCGCGTGGCCGAGGAGGGCGACGCCCGCGTCCTCCCGCGGCCGCTGCCCGGGTCCTCGCCGCAGCCGGCGCCCGCGCGGGGCCTCTGGCCGCACGGGAAGCCCAGGAGCAAGGGCCGGAGCTGCAAGCGGAGCTCGGGCCGCGGGCTGGACGAGTTCCCCCCTTTGCGGCCGGTCACCGTGGACAGCTCCAAAGCCAGGACCTCCCTGGACGCGCTCAAGATCAGCATTCGTCAGCTCAAGTGGAAGGAGGTGAGGCCCGGCCCCGCCGCGTGGGCACAGGGGGTGGACAGGACGACCGCGCAGGAGACCCGGCCAGCGGGGAGGGCCGCGCCCCAGCCCCTTCAGAGGCCTTCGCCCCTCCAGGTCCCGTTAGCCGCTCCATCCTCCGGCTCCCCTACAGCGCTGTGGTCTCCAGCCCTCAGCACCCGACCCCTACTTTGCAGATACTTGTTTCTATGTCTGTCATCTCCACTAGCCTGGGAGTCCCGGAGGCCTGGGACCCTCTCTCTTTTAGTTCTTCCTTTAACTTATGTTTGTGCAGCACTTACTGTGCGACTCTTGCACAGTGCAACGACTTGTACTTTGGAGGCAGACAGACCTCGGGTCTCATCATACCCTGCCACTTAGCCATGTGACCTCGGGCAAGTTGCTTCGCCTCTTAGGCCTGTTTTCTCCTCTGTAGAGTGAGGCTATAATACCTATCTCATGGTTTTGTAAGCATTAGAAGATTGTTGTAGCATAGCACAGGTGTGCAATAAATACCACACTCTCCTCTCTCTTCCTCCATCATCATCGTGATCACCACCACCACCATCAGTGTAGGCACTATACTGTATGTTCCAGGGCTTGGCGTATAGCCGGTGTCAGTAAGTGGTGGATGAAAGGGTGAATGAAGGAATGGGTTATTGGTTCCTGAACCCGTTTTAGACCTGGTGGGGGATGGGATGAAGCAACAACCACATCTATCCGTGTCTGTTGCACTTGGTTTAGTGGATAAAGCTATTTGACTTTATTTGCAGCTACTAAGGCTATTTAACTTGCTTTCAGGTGTGTGAAGATAGTGATTTAGGGTAGTTGAGTCTAGAGACTTGGGCCTGAGGATCTGCCGCAGGCAACATGAGGACTCTGGTACTTAGTCTTGGGCCTTGTCTGTGGTAGATGTCCAGGAACAGTTTTATGAAGTTGGAACATGCAGAGAGATGGCTACAGAAAGGATTGATGAGGTCAGAGGGTTGATGTCCCAGCAGGAAGGAGTCATGTGAGTTGGAGGGAAGTCAAGAATCAGGCAGGGCAGACTTCCAGGTTGGTAGGGGTTAGCCATCAGGGGAGTCTGACTCCAGGTGTCAGGGTTCTTAGCCTTGGGGCCTGGGATTCAGGGGAGTAATTTCTTCAAGGAGGACACTTGGAGAAAGTGAAGGAGGACTCCTGATTCTGGACTGGGCCCCAGTTCCAGGCCAGAGATAGGAGATCAGAACATGATAAAATTAGAGAACTTGTCAGTGTCATAGTCCTAATGAAGAGAGAATCCAGGGACTGAAGCCAGGCCACAGAGTCAGGCAAGGCTGATTGGCCCAAGCAGGGCCTGCGCTTCGCTTAGCCCTGTGGGAGAGAGAGACACAAAGCTAGCTAGATCTCAAGAGATGGAGCCAGATGGACCCAGAAATCAGTAGGCATACATGCTAGCCCAGATTCATCCCCTCATCCCGTAAGTGTTCATGGTGGATTCTGGGCCCTGCGGATCAAAGATGCTTAAGTTGTAAGGTACCCTTGCCCTCAAGGACCTTATAGTTCAGTAAAGGATAAAACACAAGTGAAGAAATCACTGCCATAATTGCAGGGCCTTTGCTGCTGCTTCCTGAAACGCTCTTCCCACTGAGGTGTATGTCTGACTCTTCAGATCTCTGATCAGATGCCGCTTCTTCAGACAGGCCTTCTCTGTTGATCCCTCTGTTGACCCGTGCTCTTCTTTATTTTTTCCCATAGCATTAAACTCTACCTGATACTGTTATTATGTATTGTTTGTTTCCCTCATTAGAATGTAAGCTCCATGAGGGCAGGGGCTCTGTTTTATTTACCTCTGTACCTTCAGGTGCCTGGCACATAGAAGGTGCTCAATAAATCTTGTTGAATGAATGACTACATCATGTGATGATGTTTCTCTCTCTCTATGTAAAGTTGTATGCGTTGTGGGAGGTGGGTGAGGGCCAGCTCAGGGAGGGCTTCCTGGAGAACAGAGACGGGGGCTGAGTTCTAAGAGCTGAAAAGGAGTAGGTGTTATTTAGGGGCCGTTGACACATTGCTTCCTGGTGGAGTAATTTGGGCAAAGCAGAGGTGCATTCGGGTTCAGTATGGCCGGATCATGGAGCGGGTGATACAGTGGTGAGAGATGAAGCTGGAGAAATGGCAGGGATCTTATCGTGTACCACGCTGTGGGATTTGGTCTATTTCGGGAAGGCTATGTGAGCCACTACAGAATTTTACATTTCTGTGAGGTCCTGAGAGAGTGTGTGTGTGTATGTGCGTGTGTGTCTGACTTGTGTCTCCACTGCCCAGCACATTGAAAGTGTTCAATAAATACAATACTTAGTACCTGCTACAAGGTTGACTTCATGACAAGTAACCCATATGTAAACCAGTTCCTAACAAGGAGCGAACACACAAGCTCTCCAGGCTTCAGTGTCCCCATCTGTTGCAGGGTGATGTTGGACACGATCATCTCTGACGCTCAGCACTGACATTCTAACAGCAGGGATATCTCCTGGGGCTGCGGAGGAAGGAATTGAGCCAGTGTGCCTCGCATATCATAGTGTGCTCTGCTGCGGACTGGAGAGGACCCAGCTGGCTGGCTTTGGCCCGGGTGGATTGGTAGCCCAGGCAAGAAATAAGGTCATGAATACCAACCAGGGTGAAAGTTCTGTGTCTCCTTTTTTGAGTGTGTGGTGAAGGGCTGCACCCAGCCAGCATGTGAATTTGGACATTTGCTCAGCTACAAGGCACAGTCTTCCTTCCTCCTTTACTTTTCTTTATTCCACATACATTTAACAACAATAACAACTGCAACGAACCCTTACATAGCTCTTACCCTGTATCAGACACTCTTCTAAGTGTTTTGCATACATACTATGATTTGATTCTCCCAACAACCCAATACAGTAAGTGCCTAACTGTCCCCCTTTTACAAAGGAGGAAGTCGAGGTACACAGAGGTTAATGTATCCAAGGTTACACAGCTGGCAAGGGGCAGAGCCAGCATCTGAAACAGGCATTTCATTTGAAACCAACTGTCAGTGCTGCCTCTTCCCCTGCTCCCTGCCACTCTCCACCTGCAGACTGGCTTAGGGTTGCAGGTATAGATGTGAGTAGGATGCACTCCTTGCTCTCCAGCAGCTCCCAGCGTCTAGGGTCAGATGTACAGACTCTTACAGTCTAGTCTGGGAATTGTGGGGAAAGGACATTTCACACAGAGGAGGAACAAAAGCAAGGGGTTCAGATAAGGTTTTATATGTAGGATGGGGCAACGGCAGCTTAGGGAGCGTGTCGGAGAGTGGGGAGGGAGAAGGAGCCAGATCACCGAGGACGCGCAAGGGCCATGACCAGAGGCTCCTGCTTCTGCTGGGATGTGATCACAGGTTCTTGCCACACACGGCGCAGGCTTCCCTGGCCCACACTCCGTCAGTCCCAAGTGAACCGCGCCAACTGATGATTCAGTTTTCAGTCCTGTCCACTCTGGTCAGGACTAATGCAACTGTGTCCACAACCTTAAAATTTGAAAGGAAAAATCACAAATGTTAGCTCTGTAAACTTGATAAACGATTCTACAATAGGAAAATAATGTTTACATGGTCACTGCTGAAGTTACAACCTGAAAGAGAGGGATGGTTCCTGGCTCATAGTAGGTGCTCAGTAAGTATCTATGGAACTGTATGGTCCACTTTCAATCACGTGAGCCTCTCTCCTCATCTCCCTTATTTTCTTTTGTAGTTTTGACACCCTCATTAAAGAAAACCTATTAGGGAAAAGACGCCTTGGAGAATAGATGCCACTATTGTTGTGAGCTGTCCTCCCTGGAGATGTAGGTTGTGTATGTATGCACAGTGGTGCCATGGACACCAGCTGACGTGGATAAGAGACTCGATAGAGGGACTTTTGTTGGGACCAGTTTGCATAAGCCCCTGTCCCACGATCTATTACATTGTGAGCTCTTTGTTTTGGAGACTCCAAACCATGAGAACAATGATCATATTTCTCTGTTCCAGATGGGCTGACACCTCCCTTCCGCATCCCATCAAGCCGTGCCTTGCCGCCTCAGCTGCTGTTGGTGTAAACTTTTGTTTCCCTCGGTGTGTTTGAACCATTGTCTAGTAATGCTTATAAATGCCTTGTAAATCCTTACAGGCGTTTCTGACGGTGCCCTCTGCCCTCTGTTCTCATTCTTCACGGAGCTGGGACAGGGTGGGTTTGCCCCCCGTGCAGGCGTCGCTAGGAGTGGAGTTGCTTTTCCAGGAGCTCCCTCAGTCCCTCTGCCCAGGACTCCTACGAAGGCCAAATCCCATGTTCTCTCGTCATCATGGGGAGATTTTATTTCTCTCTGTGTCAGAACTGTGGTTTATTGGAATTTTAAAAAGCAACAGCAGAAAACTTTCTAGACATCTTAGGTTATTTACAAATACCCTTTTTCAATTTCCCAAAACAATATGTGCTTATAAAAATATATATAGTTCCTAAGTATATAAAATAAAAAACAAAAAGTCCTACTCCTCACTCTCCGTTCCCCTCCCTTCCTCCTCTCCAATTCTCTTTGGAGGCAACACCAGGCTTATGGTTTGGTATGGTTCTTTCCAGACTTTTTTCTTATTTCTGTACGCATCAGGATAATTAATTTGGGCTACAGTAACAAGCAACCACAAAATATTAGTGGATTAACAACAACATTTTATTGCTTGCTCACACTTAGGGGTTCAGTGCAGGTTGGTGGGGTGGGAGGATGAGGTTCTCATCAATCTTAGTTATTCAGAGACCCACGCTCCCAGCTCATCACCTGCTTCAGTGAGTCATTGAGGGAAGGGAACATGGTAAATTGTGGCTTTTAAGACTCCTATGCAGAAGTGACTGCTGACATCTTATTCACCAAAGCATGGCTAACTTCAGAGGGGCTGGCCTGGGCTGTCCTCCCGTAAGGATATAAAGAGGAGAATCAGATTATCCATGCCAATGACAACTGTATGACTATACTAAAAACCGTTGAACTGT